AAAAAGAGGAGGAAATGAATATTCATGAAAGCACAAACCTCTGAGCTCTGCTTTATTTCCCTTTTAAACATTTTTAAACTTTCATAATAGCCCGATGTATTTTTGATGTGTAGTCACATCTCTTAATTGTGGGGTAGGAGAGATTCTTCTGGAAACAAAAACTTCACATGGACAGATCACGGTCACGGCAATCTTTTTATTTTTTTGGAAATGTGCCTGCTCCATTTAATCTTTATTCAGTGGTTCATAACATTTTGTCTTCTTTTTGCTTATTATCACAATTTGTAACAAATAAATAAATAAAATATGAAGCGCTTTTTCAAAAACATACACAGGAATGGCGCTTCATTTAGTTTATTGCAGACCCAGCCCTCCGTGTTGGATCTAAAAGCAGCTCTGCTCCTTCACAGAATGCAGTTACTAAGCCTTGGCTTTATAACCCACTTCCATTTAAGGTTATTTGGTTTGAAGCAGCACATAATGTGGCAGACCTTCCATGAGAATGAGAGTGAGAGTTTGCAGGGAGAGGGCATATAGGGGGCAGATTATAATTGGGCCGAGAGGTACAGTATACTTCATTTGGAGTTCCTGATTTTGCAGAAAGCAGTGGTTTTTAAGTGCAAGGGGTCACTGGGAATGAGGTTTAGTTTTTAACATGGCATGAAGTGTGGCATCATCAGATGTGTGGACCTCTATTCTTCAGCCTGCACTCATTATTGAAACAAAGTTTTCTCAAGAAGCCAGTCTGAACTCTAATGCTGCCTGTGACTGTACTGCAAATTAAAATTCACTTCAGTCAATTCAGTTTTAACATTTTAATAACATTTGTCTCTTTATATTATATGTAAAGATCCTACAATAATATCGAGAAACCCCAACAATCAGACAACCCTCTATGAGAAAGCACGTGGCAGCAGTGGGAAGGAAAAACTCCCTTTTAACAGGAAGAAACCTCCAGCAGACCCAACGCTCAGAGAAGGACGGCCATCTGCCGTGGCTCTGCTTTGATTCTGCTTTATCAAAAAAGAAAACAAATTAAAAAGCTGACAGGGTGCCAGTCTCAGCCCCAAAATCCAAAGTGAAAGCTGGTTCCACAGAAGAGGAGCCTGAATGCTCTGCATCCCATTCTACTTTTAAAACAAGATGTGTTCCTGAATGTTTGTGTTTTTCTGTTTTGCCTCCATAGTTGTTGCTCTGTGTTGTGTATTAGTTTCAGATCTTAATCCAACAGTGCTTTCCATGGCTGTGGCTTTGCACTCCCTGTTTCTCACCGTGTGAAGTCTAAACTTCAACTGTGAAGTTTAGAGCTCAAAGACTCATTCAATAATTAAGCTCTTACAACGTGGTTCTTAATTCTCCACCACATTGTTCAATATAACCAAGCGGCAGAAATCTTATGGTATTCAATTTCAATTCAATTTGATATATACAGCGCCAAATAACAACAACAGTTGCCTCAAGCCACTTTATATTGCATGGTAGACCCTACACAATACATACAGAGTAGTGATGTGTCGGTCGCGAACGAAATGGCTCTTAGAGACGGATCTTTGAGGTGAACGACGCGAGCTGTGGGTTTTTGTTTTTTTTCTTTCTCTCACCCTCTCTCGCTTTGCGCTGGGCAGAGGGGGGAGGGGCGGTAGTTACACTCGCAGTAGCACAGGAACAGAGCAGGAGGGAGAGACAGAGAAAGAGAGCCAGGGATTAGAAAGGTATAGTAATCATCAACAACTATTTTCAGTTGTAAAAGTATATTTACGGTGGCCCCTAGAGACAAAGCATGTACAAACTCCAAAACACGCACAAAACACAACAGAAGTGCTCCAGGATGCTAGGGGGCAGTGTTGAGCTTTTGTTACCTAGTGGCTACACAAGTCAGCAAGTACCAACGACCTGATTTGGTGTGTGGTAGTAACAGGTAAATGAACTTTTTTTTAAATTATTTGAATATATATGAGTGCTTGTGTATAAATACACAAACAATACACACATGCTTTCAATTGTGATCTAGGTAGCTCTGTTAAGGAAGTTCAGTTAACTCTAGGAATGTGTTTTGGAGTTTGTACGTGCTTTGTCTCCAGGGTCCACCGTATATATTTATATATAAACATATATAAATAAAACCACTTTATATTCTTGTTAATAATAAATTAATTAAAGCAACAAAACAACCTGAAGAGCCGGTTCGAAGCCGAAAGAGCCGGCTCTTTTTAGTGAGCCGAGCCAAAAGAAGGCAATCCCATCACAAATACAGAGGAAAAACCCAACAGTCATATGGCCCCCTCTGAGCAAGCACTTTGGCGACAGGAAGAAACCTCTGGCAGAACCAGGCTCCCTGTTGGTGTTGTCAACAATATTTTAAATTTATTCTTTAAATTAACCCTCTGTCTCATCCACTACCATCTTTCAAATTGCAAGTCAGACTAATTTAACCCTTTATTCATCATGGGTTCACCAGCAGGCCCATTTTGTAAGCACTCTTAAAATAACTGCAACTCTATTACAATTTTTGCTAAAAGTCAGAAATTTCCTGAAAGATGAGATTGATTTCTTTAATTTTATAGCTAAAATGACTAAATAAGTCCAATAGGTCTGTATGGATCCTGTTTGATAAGGGGTTGAGCCTCATGTATGGTTTGCTTCCAGCAATCTCAGCTGCCTGAACCACTCTGCTGCACTCAACTGCCTCTGATTCTCAAATAAAATCTATTGAACTATTTAGCTCTAATCTCTGAATCCAGCTTTTGATTCTTAAATCCTTTAGTTCTTAATAAGTATGTGTCCCAGATGAAACGAGTCATCGTAAGTTCACAGTCAACTGAAATAAGGATGCAAAACTGCGAGTCACAAATTACAGACGTGAGGGAGACACTCATTATTCATCACTCAGAGATTTACAACACATCTTCAAAACTTTGCAGCTTGCCTTGGAGCCTAATGCATTTTTTAAGCTGAGTTACTTTTGCACAGGAGCTACATAAGCCGACAAGCATGTTTACCATAAGATTTGGCGGAGGGTTAGAGCCTGGTGGGATAAAGCTCATGGCAAATGCATAGGCTTCCTCCCACATGAAACAGGCTCTCTTTTTGGATATTAGGACTTTATCTTACAGCACTGGTTCAATGTGAGTCAATGTGAGTTGTTGGTGTTTCTATGATAGCATGAAATATGCATCTTGTGTGTCAACAAAAATCCAATCAATTAACTCATCACACTGTAATGGAACAATTTTAGTAGTGTAGTGAAATTGCAGACAATTTTAGCCACTTTAAGACTCACAGCCCCTCGTTTATTTATTGGCTTTCCACGCACTTCCAGAGAGCTGCTCTATACCTGCTGAAATCTGTGTAATGAAGTAAGCTCAAATGAAAACCCCTCATTAACAGAGGAAGTAACACACCAGACGTGAGGTCAGTAAATGGTTTGTGCCATAAATAGTGAATGAAGTTCTGTCTCTGAAGAAACGCACTCAAGACACGCACAAACACTTACTTTCCCCAGAACAGGGTGAGCCTCTCACCCTTGCATCGGGGGTGCTTGTGTTTTTCATTCCCTTCAGTCTACACACCAACTGGGGTGGATTTCTGCTGGGCGCCATGGTAACCAGTGGGGCTATTCTCCATCACAGTGGCCGAGGGAGGAAAGAAAAAGGAGAGCTAATCAACAGCACACATTTCCCACTAAGACACACATGCACACACATACACAAAAAATCATTACATTCACTTAGCGTTTGCTGAGGCTTCCACGGATAATATGGAGAAATGGATAAATTCATGACCTCCCATACAAACAGACTCAAAGTTTTAGCAAAATATCCCACGGTCACAGCTGGGGTTTCCTGTGTTCCTGTGTTTACTGACATTAAACTATTCCAAACCAAGTTGCAACTAGCAGCATTCCTACCTTTGCCAAGGAGGTTTTGTTGTCTCGCTCAGTCTGTTTGTTAGACCTATGGCTGAGACTCAGACTTATGGCTTTAACACTTAAAATGTTTAAGTTTTGAAGTTAATCTGGATCTGGATCCAGGAAACAGAATTTTTTGAAGGGATTTTTTTTTTTTTGCCATTATGAGACAAAGTCTTTTTCCCCTCATATCTTTACAAATGCATAAGAAAATGAAAAAAAAAGAAGAAGAAAGAAATTGAGAGAAATCATCTACAGTTTGAAAAGTCCCAAACCGATCAACAAGGTTTGCATGTTCTCCCTGTGTCTGTGTGGGTTTTATCTGGCATGGCAGCTTCATAAAACTAGACTGGAGGTACTTTCTTCCCTGAGGACTGACTTGTCAATAACAATACTAAAAGACCTATCTGGCAAATAAGAATAAAACCACCTCAAAACCTAAACTAGAAATGCCAACCCACTGTTGGAGACAACTCAAAAAGAAAATCTAGCGATCCAAGAGTGTCAAATACAGCGCTTATAATTCATCAGCCGTCTCTGTCCTGTTGTTTGCTCCAAAATCCAAGTGGCCTGTTTTAAAGAGTCCACTTCTCTTTAACAATTTTCTAGTCCAATGATTTCTTCTGTCCAGACATCACTGTAACACCTCACTGCATTTGGCACATATTACCAGTTGGACAGTGTAATAAATAAATAAATAAATAAATAAATAAAAATATAAAAAAAAGATGTGAACGTTTGACAGTGGATAGAATAGAAAAATAAATGCTGTCAGTGGAAAATTTGCTATCAATCACTCCCTCACATGTTGCTTCCTTTAGGAAATACCGTCCTGTAATATATATATATATATATAGAGAGAGAGAGATGTCATACCACCCTGACAAAACCTGCCTCACAAGCAACACAGTTTAAAAATACAATTTAATTAAACGGATGAATTACTTAATATTACATTAATATACAAAAAAAATACAAAAATACAAAAAAAAAAAACACCTTCAAAACCTGTCGTCCTCGCGCTTCTTTGGTTTAACAATGGCGCCATCACCTGGTACATTTTAGTAGGTACGTCCAAACGTCATCACGGCGCGACAAGGAAGCGCCTCTGCGAGCGTCCTTCACTTTGCTCTATGCTACAAACACCCGAGCAGGTTACAAAAGTCTGTCGTTTGTGGAGTACAAGTAGCTCTGTGCGGGTTGTCGGGCTTTATGGAGTGAACGCGGGAGACTGAAGGGAGACGTGCTCTGAGAGGTTTCCGCGTTTTTATTCAGTGAGTGACGTTTAGCTAAGTTTATACAGATGAAGTTGGTGTGGCAGCTACCGGTGTTGTGCCACAAAAGTCATTTCTAACATTTCTCTGCTTTTTTAGTGCCTAATATGTTTGCTTATATTGGTAAATAAACTGTATTCAAGAGGATTTATAAAGGTGTTATATATATATATATAAAAAATAAAGAAATTATGTTATTATTTTAAGTATTTTTATGACTCTTTGTATTTGCACCCACATTATATCCAATCAGTTAGTCCAGTCATTTACAACAGATGAAATATAGTCATTTTTGGCAAATACCGGAAATTAATTGTTGTCTGACTTTTTGCCACAGCACCTGTTGTTGTGTAAGGTTGCAGTCTGGTATTAAAGCAGGCTTAGAAGATGTGCAAGTTCTTTTTGAGGCTGTTTTCTCAGCGTGAACACAGAAAGTTGTGAAAACCTGGACAATATGTGAAGGTAAAGTTTACCCAACTGTATATACAAAGCTTAGATTAACTGTTATATGGATGAGGGGACATTCCTGACTAGAATAGATTTCTGTGGTAGAGAAACTGTTATATTTTAACAGTTTACCTGTGCTAAGTCATTAGCTATTAAAATTTCTGTTTTATTGATGATTAATTTTCTCTTTGTGTTTGGGGCAGTGATGACAGCTCCAAACTCAGCAGAAAGGAAGACCTGCTGGGACGCCAGGGACCATCTCTGGAAGTGTTTGGATGATAATGATGACAATGCTGCATCGTGCCAGAGGTTCCAGAGTGAATTTGAGGCCAAATGTCCGGCCCAGTGGGTAAAATATCCCATCTTTTTTATTAATGGTCGAAGTTAGGGTTGCAGATAGTGTCGATAGTAGTGTCACAGATGAGCAGCTGACAGTGTTTATTGGACAATTTTGGAAACTTTAAGTTAAATGTAGACATTTAGAGAACATTTTAAAGAACCTAAGCAGCAACAAGATTGTCAGCCTTTAGTAGCTTCTTGCTCCTTTTCATTCTCCCCTGCAGGTGAAGTATTTTACCAAAAGGAGAGACTTCCTGAAATACAAGGCGAAGATGCAGACAGAGGGAT